TGATTCGATTGGTCCGATTGTGGTGTCATCATATCATATCAATCATCGGCCGAGGCGTATGAAATATTATCCAACTAAAATACCGATTTAACATCATCGCCCGGATTTATTGGGTATCAAAACCCAACAAGTTCAATCTCACTTGTTCAGTTCACCTTCTAGGATAACAAATTGAAAAATTAAGTGAGCAATACGAGTGTTGAGAGATTAGAATAACACGAAATTCGGTTTTGTTTGGGAAAAGGTACCTTGGGAGTTGATGTGTATAATTGATCAAGTACAATTGGTCGAATTAAGAATAACGGAGTTCGTGAAATAATTGTTAATTTTGGTATTTCATTAACTTGTTTGAATTTTGAGGTTTATATATTCACTTTGAGAAAATATGTCAAATTGGGCAAACAAATGTTCAAGTTGAAGGTCTTTAATGAGCCCATATTTGACAATCATTTTTACAAAACTCTTTTTTCTTATTCATTTTCAACTACACATTCTCACAATAAAATATTTTGCACGTAAATCCAAATTTTTTCTACTTTTTAACCTTACATACTACAAAAAATAAATATTTCAAAACTCATTTTTTTCAAAAATTCTTTTTAATGGTTTCCAAACAGGGTCTAAGTGTTATTTATACATTTATCTGAGCCACCAAATGTGGGTATTTGAGAGTACTTTATGAGCTAGATAATTTCGGATTTGAAGGTTGAACTTTATCAATTTGTCGAGAGATCAATAATTATCAAGGAAGAGGTCGAAGATCCATTGTTAGCAGTCGTGTGGTGAATATTAACAATAGCTTGATTTTTTTTTTTCTTAATTCGTTGTATTGAACCCGGTGATTTTTTAATCATTTATGTTTTTAATTCTGCAATTAAGAGCAACTAGATAAATTGTTGTTAAGATAAATGATATAGCTTATGTTTAATGTTTATTTAATTCAAAAGATGTCCTGCAATTTTGATTATGTGTTTACTGTTTATTGTTTGTTAATGTAATTCAATTGCTTGACCGCCATTGGTGAATTTGGGGACAACAATGAGCCCGAGAAGAAATATATTTGTTTGTACAATAAGTGACATAGGTATTGACAGGAGATTGAGAGATGCTCTTATAATTTATGCAATTTTGGTGGAATTCCTAAGAATGAATGTGTTTACATGTGTATGAATTTTCATGATAGAGATATAGCAAATTGGGAACGTGAATGGACTGTATGATATTGTATTGAATGAATCTTAATAGATCTAAGAGTCCGTTTGATAGACAATGGTGGAAATGAATTCCAATTTCTTATTATTTGGAGAATAAAAACCCACCAATCCCATATGAATTCGTTTTTTATGCAAAAAAAAAAATGCATCTTAAAGTAGTTGTACATTGGAATTTGATTTCCATTTCCAAAAGGCCAAAGTAGAATTCATTTTCCTCGAATATTA